TTATAGCCAACAGATTGAGTATGAAAATTTTGAATTGGCTTCAATCGAGATTGCCTCCCAGAAAGTCTTTGGTAAACAAGTTCCACTTTGTATTTAACAGGAATTTATGCAAGATCGATCGAACGTATAGCAAGAATAAAATTCAGAGACATAATTGAAACAAAAAAAAAAATAAAAAAAATTCAATGATTGATTTGTCTAACAAAAAAATAAAATAAAATTCAATGATCGAATCAACTACAAATAAACCTCTTAAATGAATCGTTGTTGCTAAACTATCAGTCAAATTGTTTAAATAATTTGATAGGAGAGTTGAGCATCTTGACCAAAACAACAACCACTAAACCTATCAAACGAGGAGAACTAAAAATCTGATGAGTACCTACCTCAGTACCCATATGAGAAAATTAAAGTCCATAACCTAACACAAATTTTTTTACATGAATTTGGGGACTACAGTACTTCTTCTTAAAGTCCATAACCTAATATAAATGATCAGTCTAGACTTTGGAGGACTGGTATTATGTTAGTATTTTATTGTTGCCTTATTGTTACTGCTAGCACATCGTTAGCAGTGGTACTTCTAGTCGAAAGGCATATTTGAGATGTGCAAAATACTATCATGGAAGCAAATTTTGATAATGTAATGAGCAAATGGAAATTGATTTGGAATTTTAAACTCGATCCGTTACATAATTGTAAATTTTATGTGTTAATATCATGGTAAATTATTAATCTTACAGAATATGACAAGAGTCTAACTTGTGCTAGACATGTAGATATAATGGAGGCCTTGAAGCGCTCATTGCAAGTGTTGGAAAAAATTGGCGATTTGTATGTAAATAAATTATCAATTAACATAACTATCTTAAACATAAACGTAAATAATATAATTCAATAATAATTCAAATATAATAGGAGAGTTAAAAATTTTACTGGTATATCACAAATGAAGACTTTTACTGGTACATCACAAAACTCTTGAAATTTGATTGTTCAATTAATTTTGAATTATCTTGTATTTCCCATCTTTTAATGAGTTAAATTTTTCTGTAGTTCCCTTTGTTGGAGTCGAGTTATAAAATACACGTACATGCGAATTTATTAAAAAAAAAAAGTATTATTTTCACTGAATTCTCCATCGTTTTAATGCTAGATTGCAAGCGCCATCTTCAACTTTGACCTTTTTAGCAGTTTTTCCCTAACCTTCTTGTCTTAATATTAAGACCATCAACCTTTCATTTTTAAGAGCTCGTCGCCCCTATATTGAAATTTTTGGCGGAAAAAATTATAAATTAAGGTGATGTGAAAAATGAATTTGTCCTCAATCTAAAAAAGCTAAGACAAATAAATAAAACAAGAAGGAAGAGAAAAAGAAAAGGAAAAATTTCAAATCCTCTAATTGTTTGGATATATGCTCTAATTCATTAATTTATATTATGTTTTGAACGAATAAATAATAATTTATGTCATTTGAATATTTTTATAAATGTGATTAATATGAGAAAATTATAAAATGTACTTTGATCACGGATATTATTATAAATTAAATTATTAAGTTGTCAAATACAGATAGAATCAATTTATAAAGTGACAAGAAATAATTGATTGTGGCGAGTAAATATAGTCGGACACTGCATTTTAATAAGTTCGTATCATCTTTATTAAAGCTTATCTGATCTTTGGTAATAAAGATTATAATATAACAAATATTATTGGACTTGGTCAAGTAACAATTAATACTTGATGATCATATAGAACTAAATGTAATTGACAATCGAACATACGTCTAAATCCTGAATGGACTAGAAACTTTAATTATATAATCAATAGCTCGTTATTTTGAGAATTAGAATGAAGTAATTAACTAACATATTTTCGTAATGTGGAATCTGTCACATATTTTATAGAGTATATATTTGTAGAGCAATTTAATCCTAGCTCACCAGTCTAAAAATAAGATTGTTAAACTAGTAATTGAAAAAAAAATGAAACTGGTGCTTGTGATATTATATATGAATAATTAAAAAAATAATCGATTAATCAAAATAGTCATTTTTACTTATTTTAACAATTGACGTAAGCGAATTGTTAACGGTGAATTGTTGGAAAATAAATAATTTAAGTTTTAAATTTTCAAATTATTAATTTGTTGTTTCTATTTTAATTTCAATTTAATACAAAATTAAATTAATAATATTATAGTGTAACATACATATTATAACTTCTAATATAAATGTGGTGAATTGTTGTAACTTGAAATAAGTTTCAACTTTTCAAAATTAAAACCTATTAATTTTTAGTTTTAACATAAAATTGAAACACCATTTTCTATTTCAATTTAGTTTTATTACATATTAGCTGCATATATAATAATATGATTTCTATACATATTAACGAAATTGTCCACAAACTAGAAAAATGAAGATAAAAGAGAAAAAGTATAGTATTCTTTGCATTTTTGAAGATCATTGATGAATACTTGGAGGTACTAGAGTCTGTTGATTGCAAGAGGTTTAAATAATGCACCAATGGCAATGTATTCAATATCTGTATTTAGTTAGATTAAATTCATATTATAGAAATTCAATTACTACCTATTGACAATCGATCCTATTTTGGTTTTTCAGTATTTCATATTAATATATGGTGGTGTTTTTAGAATAAATATCCCTAGACCTACTGAGAGATTGAATATCAAGTTTGAGAGTGCTCTTATGGGACAAAAAATGAAATAATTGACCATTGAAGGTCAGAATATATCCAATTTAAAGGTTTAAAATAATTGGATTAGCTATGAACCCATATCAAACCTTGTCAGATAAGTGAAACAATTATTTTGGTTGCATGATTAGAAGTCTTTTATGAATTGTTTGAACAGTTTCAAAACATAAAAGCAAACACAACAAGCTATCTATTTCATGAATTGCTTCTCTTTTAATTTAATTGTGCATTTGAGTAGATAATCTTGCTCAAGATGAACGACAGTTTAAGATTGGGGGTCATGAAGATATTATGCTCTCTTACTTTACCCGGTCTTTGAATCAAAAGATCAAGAATTAACAACTTGACTTGAAAAGTACTAGAAGCAAGGGAATTTATGGATGGCTAGCTATTTACAGATCCACAATAGGTTGTAAGTTAAGCAGGAACAAAGGGTTGTCTCTGAGCAACAAATATGAAACACGAAGTTATAAATCACATATTAGTATTGAACACTTGTTTGGTCTTTGTTGGTTTTTGATACCCAATAAATCCAGGCGACGATTTAAAACATTTGTCGGATTTTTTATCAACACCAAAGTGACGGTTCGACTCGGAAACAATTAATGCACCTTTGGAGGGCCTACGTTTGAGTTGGGTTGGTAGATTGGTTAATGTATAGCCCTTTATCTTGGCCTATTATGAGTAAGTGTTGGCCCAAAATTAAACCTAATGCCTATATACACACAAGCCGCGTGTTTTCTCTGTGTGGGTGTGTATTGTTGCAAGAGAGGCAGCCGAGGGAGGAGTGAAAGAGCAGCTTATTTTTAATTATACATTTTGTTTGGATTCACAACTTTTATATACTTTTCAATCACAAATTTCATCAATTTTTCTCAAAATCTATTGAAAATATGATTTTTTTTTTTTTTTTGCTTAGCATATAAAAGAAAGAAAGGAAGTACTCGAACTAACCCAAATCACAAGATTGAACTGATTTCACGTTTTTCCAAGTTCATTTAAATTTTTGTTTGTCATGAGTAATTAGGTTGTCTATTAATCGTATATTCTTCTTGAATATCCTACGATTTGAGACAGGAATATTCTACATTATATTAGAGCATATCAAAGTTTTAGGTTCATATATCATTTGTGAAGAGGCAGATTATTTTTGAAATATAAATAAAATAAGTAATTAAGTTTTGCTTTCTTAGGATTCGTAGTTTCTTTAATGATTGTAAATCATGCTGATAACATAAATAGTCGGATACCTACCCTCCTTATATAAGACTACATTCAGGTCAATTTATTAGTTGTAGTGTCAATATAAAGGATTTTTCTTTTTCTTTTTTTTCTTTTTTTTTTTTTAAACCACAAATTTTTTTCTCTTTAAATAAGATTTAGGTGATCTAACCCACTAATAATAATGTTAGGTGCAACCAATTTAATTATTTACACTTTTTTCCTAAATAGATTTCACTTCGATAAGAAAACTCATCAACAATAACGAATCATAAGCTATCAATAAAAATTCTCTCTCACGATCATGGATTTTCATCGGATGGTACCATTTGAGACACTACTTGTTATTTATCATAAATAGACCAGATGATTGAAACTTTAATCATTCACTTCATCCCTACATTATGCTATAGTCACTTCAAAAAATATATATTTTTAATTTATTTTGAGTTGAGTTTCATATGAAGAGAGTTCAAAACGTTAGTCAGTTTTCTAGTCTATGTAATTGGGAATGCTCCTATTATAGGACGTGGTCATTGTATTCTCAAAAACAAGTACTCACGAAGGACATTGTAGTTTTAAAAGAAAAGAGTCAAACTCGCGGTTTGAAATGACGGATTTCGTAGCATCAACGACGAACATACTATAATTGCTCATAGTACTCATATTCTGAAGTTAGGGGACTTGCATAATGTTCTACATTTCCGTCGCAAAATGAACATTTTGTACCTTAGCTTTTCTATAACTTTATATGAACATTCCTCTTGTACTTGTACAAACTCTCATATCAATAACATATTTGGTTCAGCCATTTGCTTATATAATCGCACTAAAAAGGGTGTGGTCACTGCAACCCCCTTTGCGAGGAGGCACCCCTTCTCCCAAAGTTACGAGGCTATATTGCCGAATTCCTTAGAGAGAGTTGTTCATATTTCTCAACTAATAAATGACTGAAAAATGAGGTTTCAAGTTCAAGTAACATGCAAAAATACACATAATTGTGAAATGAATCAAGTAACCTTAACTGTGAAATGAATCAAGAAATTAGAACAAACTTCATCAAAGGAATCTGTACGTGTGTATATATCATTAATGACATTGTACATAGATATAGCTAATAATCAATTAAATAAAAAATTACATATTCATTTCCTGAATAACTACTCGAGGCGTCTCATAAACAGGCCGGAGTATTCTGTTAATCTATACCATAAGCATAGTAGTTCTCTTCCTGGTGCTGGTTGTACAAATGAACCAAGATAAGCAAATATGTGCATTCTTTCTATGTGGCCTGGGGCTGGGAGTGAAATCCCTGCTTTCACAAATGGCAGTGCACCTCTAAGAATATGCGCTTGTGTAGAAATGTAAAGGCTTAGCCCTAATGAATTCGTAAAATACATCCTGTTTGGAGCTTTCTTGATGACCTTTATTCATCAAAAATGATGCCAGGATCAGTGCCATGACAAGTGATACCATGAGAAGTTAGAAAGAGGAATGTGTCACTGAATTATTGCACATGCACTCTGGGACAGGATATTTCGTCACGTCCCTTCGTACTTTGCTTGTCCTAAGTTCTGGCTGCCCCAAGGAATCTCTGTGCAAATCCATTATAATTTTGTTGAATTCCGCTTCAGGGAGAGAAGAATTCATAAAGTATCGTATCATCTGTCTTTTGTTAGGTGTGATGGTCTTTTTGTGCCCTGCATAGGCCCTCTGCCCCTGTTTCACAAGTTAAATTCGACCAATGCAAAATAAACGATAATGAGTTGATAAGAAGTGATCTTTTGCTAGATGACGGATGCGATACCTGAATTGCATGGCCCATATTTCCACCATGAGACGCCATAAATACATTGCTATTCTCAGAAATTATATGATCGATAGCAGCCATTAATGAAGCTTTCTTTTCAAATGGTTCAAGCTCCCCAGGCAAGGCAAGGTCTTCCTTGTTATAGAAATGAGGAAATTCTCTAGTCAAAGGTTGCAAGGTCTCTTTTCCACCCAATGGAATCCCTCCGGCCCAATAAATTCTTGTACTTTTTGGTGCTCCCAATGATTTCAGCAATCTAAACGCAGAAGACATATCACTCAGACGGAGTCGTCCTATCCTACTAGTTCCATTAATGAGATTTTCGCAATTCAAAAGCTTACCGTGTGACCTCCAAGGCATTTAAGGGGCAGAGGCCTGCAAGTTTTCTATCGTGGTAGGTCATGTTATTTCTTGAAGTCAAGAGCTTCGGCCGTGACTTCCTCTCATTATTTATCATGACATCGTACTCTTGGCTTAGACCAGGAAGACACCCTGTTCTCACCCATACATCCTTCTCCATACGCAGATGAAGAGCCAGATATGGTCCCTTCCTTCTCATCCTCTCAGTAAGTTTGTTCCCAAGTTCTGAGATATGTGGGGCAAATCTTAATGCGTGAAAAGCCACCTACAATTTGAAAGAGAACTCGATTAACGAACTCTAAATTTCAAGAAAATAGCCAAGGATAAATTCCAAAGTTTGTAGGGGTAACAGCTCTCTATGTCAATTGCACCAAGAAGAGTACACCAACTACCTTGCAGCGAAGCTTTTGAAGATCGGAAGGAAGATCCTTGGAAAGCCTGGAATCAAGGCCACGTAAAAGTAATACACCATCCCTTTTAAGCTGCAGGGTTCCAAAAAAGACATACAAATCAAATTCTTCAACTACAAAATACTTCAAAATATCAAAATGAAAGTAAAACAGGCAGACGACAAAAAAAAAAAGCTGTTCAAATACGTCACTCACTTGAATTTGTCAATAATTTTGAGACGTCAATAGATAAAGTTCAACTATGAAATAACAATCTACCAGACAACTACTTTAGATGTTCACCAATAATTTCAAGGTTTTGATGACCAATCCAATCGGATTGGGAGGTCATAAGCAGATAGACATTGATGTCATTGATCATGTATTGAAATTAGCTACCAATGAAGCATCCAGTTCATTTCAATATATTTTAATCCTTACCATTCTGCTTAAGTAACAAGCACTCGAAAACACTAGGCATGTCAATGTAAATTCTTACCCGTTTAAGGTAGCGTGAGCGAATCCATTCAGGAGAAACATGAAGAGGAGTCGTCTTTTCCCTTGTATGCCTTGTCATCAGATGTGTTGAGGGAAGTGATGAAACTATTCGAACATCATTAGCCAAAACATTCTTGAACTGATCCAAATCGAAAATATCAGAAAATTCACTGCAACAATCACAAGAGTAACAGAACAACTTATCAATTTCCTCCACGATATCAAGAACTCAACCATTTTCAGTGAAAACCAGAAATTTTTCATTGATTAAAATGTACCAAAATGACTTAGTTTACTTGAGTGGAAAGATTAAATAACCATTATACGACATGGTCAAATTGAATAAAGATTGTATATGCATGGCTGAAAAATCAAGAAATGGTCAAAAGAAAGAACCTTTCATCGCCCCATATGACATTGACTTGCAAAATAGGAACAACCAGAGAAGCTCCAAGAATTCTTGCAATCACCACAGCATCAACAATTTGATTCCTCTGCTGATTCAGTCCACCAGCAACCACCACCATTAAATACTTGGTCCGATCCTTCATAATTTCATCAGTTTCCTCTCCATATTTTACACTGAAATCCAAACAAGGCCTATACCCCATCCCCTCAGGCTGTTTCCAAAACTCAATTTTATTATCTGTTTCTTCAATTTCCACAAGATTCAGCTGAGAACTTGAGAGCCCAGTTGATAATATTGTCTTTTCTTGAGGAGTAAAATATATGTTCTGTGTCAGAGGCGTTACTGGCTCAAAGTGGAACCACATCTTCAACATACAGAGAAAACAGAGCACAAACATCAAGAAAACCCAGAATCTTGGATTCTTCAAGAAAGGCCTTAGCTTTAAGGAAGAAATGTGCTTTTTCTTGGGAGATTCTAGCAAACACTCGAGTGAAGATTGTGAGATTGAGCTGATAATTTGAGAAGACACTGAAATATAACTCTGGTGTTTCTTCCTGTTGCTCTTTGTCACAGCCATTTAACACACAAAAAAAACACAGTCAGAGCCCTTTAGAGGTAGTACGATGCTATAAACTTCGTTTGGAAGCTCTGGAGAGAGGGTATAGAGCGAGAAAGTGCGGACGGTGGGAACCAGTTATGCCGTTTCTCTCGCTCTCTCTCGTGTAGTTCAAGGTTTCGTAAGAAATGCTTGGGGATATTTATAGTGATTTTGTCTTAAGGGGAACTAAAGGCCAAATTTTTTCACTTTCAAACTTGTTACGTGCATCAAATTGGTGGCTTCGAACGGTACTAGAGAGGGATTAAGAAAGCTAAAACCATATTGAGGAGAGAGCTAAATTAGAGAGATGCTATATGGACAGGGTCTGTCCAATTAGGGGCCGATACTAGAGAGCGATTAAGAAAGCTAAAACCATATTGAGTAGAAAATTTTAGATGAGCTAAATTAGAGAGATGCTATATGGACAGGGCTTGTCCAATTAGGTGTCGACAAGGCGGCCCCTTATTGGTCAATTATCTACATTCGGGTAGGTTCCTATTCAAGAAGATTTCTCCGTTAAATTATACTTGTTTTGTTACTATTGTTGTTTGAAATTTATGGAGTTAAATTATATTAGAGAAAAAAAAAAAAAAGGCAATATGATACGAAGAAGATATACACAACTTATGTTCACATCTAATAATTGAAAGTTATTTTTAATAATCAATTTATAGATAATTATTACTTTAACAATTGATAACTTGAGTGTCCATTAACACTGTCATCTTTATTATCAAATGATTTTAATATTACAAATTTGAAGAAATATTGTATATTATTTGTGAATACTATTAAACGAAGATTATAGAGATTATTAATGGTCTATTGCATCAAGATTTGGTATTTTCTTAAGAAACTTTCAATGTTCATTTCACCAATTTCCACTTTTTTTTTCTTCTTCCTTATGTCATTTGATGAACGAGTGGATCTTATCATTAAGTTCTTAATAAATATTGAAACACTGCAGTTAATAATACTTCTTATATCAATTGATTATAAATTAAGTAAGATTTACATTTGAAAATACATAGGAACACGACAATTAACACTAAAATATGTGTAGGGCGGTATTGAGCTTTCTCAATCCTGAACGACTTTTTCCTTTACACTTATAAACTATATATCAATTTTATCTACAATCGATGTGAGACAACTTCAACAATCTCCCACGTATACATCGGGCTTTGTGGGAGACAAAACAAGTCTCCCATCACATATCGGGCCCTGCGATAGACCAAACTCATCTCCCCCTCACACAACAGGGCCTGCAGGAGATCAAATCCGTTTCCTTTCACATAAACCCGTATCTTCGTGACTTTTGGATCGGAGACTTGTTGATAAATCAAATTCTGATACCCGTGTTGGATGGTATTGTGTCTTTTCAACCTTAAAAGCTAGTTTAAGATGTGAAACTTTTCCTCACACTAGTGAACTAAATATCAACCTCATCCATAATCGATGCGGGACAACTTCAACAATATGTACTTCTGAACAAAATTTAGTTGTACTAAAAATTGAGGGAGAAATATAAAAAAAANAAAAAAAATAATCTAAAAAGGGATTGAATATTAGCTGAATTGAGTAGGACATCACTCTGTTGTAAACATTTTTATTTTCAAAAAATATAAATCAATTACTTTTCAATATTTTTAAAAAGTAAAAGCTAAATTATTTTTAAATAGTAATTATTTGATTAGTATACAAAGTTGGGAGATAAAGTTGATGTGGTTTACAATCTCGGAATTCCAAGCAGAAAGCTGTCCATAGTGACCAAACCAGCTGTCGATTAAACAGAAGACAGCCTGTGTTCTATTTTATTTTGCTTACACCAAACTCCAATTATCTCCAAAAAAAAATAAAAATAAAAAAATAATAAAAAAATAAAAAAATGTGTTTTCAAGTTTAATAAAAGTTAACAATAGGGTGTATTAAAGAAATTATTATATATTCGAGGTATATTCTAGACCAAAATTATCGACATAGCATAGCATGAAGTCGAAATTTATTCGTTTTGAATTATATGTATATATCGTTAAACTTATTTCGTTATTTTTAATAATTTGTTATAGTTTTAGCATTATAAGAAGTTTTGGGATCAAAAATATATTTTTGCGTACGATTATATATAACAATCATGCTTGGTGGTGTACACCAAGTTTGACAATTTGCTTCGTCAATTAAAAAAAAAAAAACTAATTTGCTCGTCCACCCATATTTTGAAAACAAAAAGAATGTAAGTGTCAAAGTCAACAACTAATTTTAAATATAAATTTTATGGGATCCACAATTTTTTGACAAAATATTTCAACAATTTTTATCAAAATCTATTAAGAATTTAATTTTAATCTCCACTAAACAAGAACTATAACATAATAGATCCAGATGGCAAGATAGTTTACACGCTGGCATATTTTCCAACGTGGCGGATTTGCCTTCTGATTACCATGGCACCCAAAAGAGAATGTTCCATTGTGGGTCCCGCAAGGAATATGCTTACTCCATATTTGTACAAAAAATCGGCCCGCAATCGGGTGGGTCTGTTTGGTTTTGACATTTTTTTATCCCAAATTCGAGAATTTGCCTAACTTGCGATTGCATTTTGTACAAGAAAAATGAGAAATGTCATCATCTTCAGCCCATTTGTTTTTCATTTTTTCTTCATTAAAATGAAAAATATGATCATTATCCATTATATCAAATTATCAAATTTGAATTTCTATCCCTTGTATGGGATTCATAATGACTATATTTTTCATTTTCATTTTTACATTAATGTGTACCAAACGATGCCTCAGTATAATTTGCTGATAGAAGTTAGCCAAAACTAAAACAAAATAAAAGTTATTTATTAGCGATCCGTACCACTCCTTTTTATTTTTATTAAATACAATTTGAATCATATTTATAAATATAATTAATTAAAAAACATTATGATAAAGGAAGATATTTTAATCCCACTTCGTCTCTTAAAACTCCTCAATGAGACTTGTCTCCTAGGACCTAGTTAAATCCGTTGTTATCTCTGAAGAAATATTGTCATTAAGTTTAGATAAAATATAGAAGTATAAACATCTCGACAATGTATTTATAAAAAATTATCACGTGTTAAAGGTTTAAGAATCTGACATACTAATGAATGAACATGTTACACATTTAGAAAAATTATATATATCCTTTCTACATAAATTAGTTAAGGGATGATCGTTAGTGAAAAAATTACATAGATAAAAGTTTGTTAGATTATTTTTATCTATTTCTACATGCTTGATTATGTCAAACTTTCAAATTAATTGATCATGGGGAGATAGAATTTGTAACCTCCCTCGCTAGCCTACAACGTGGTATAAAAATGATTTATCCAAATTAGTTATAAATTAGTAAAAATAAAAGTTTAGAGTGAAAATGATTTAATAAGCACTTGCGCTCAAATTTATGTTAAACATCAATGATATTATACATCAATCAATTGATAAATAATAAATTTAATTCAAATATTCAGACTTATCATAAACTTTTTTATTAATGAATCTATAAGCAGCATAATCAGCGAAGTAATCATTCCTCACGTTTAGATGTCAATTAAGTGAGCCTCTTTTCCTTGGTTATTTTCCTTTCCATTTAATTATTTATTTTACGAACGGTAGACAGCATGTGACCTATTGTATTTTGCTTAACAAACTCCAATTATCATTTTTTTAATTTTGTGTTTATATATAATTTCTTGACCTCATATTTTTTCAGGGGAGATGTGGCCAACATATTTGGGTCCTCTGGAGTCGACGTAAACTTTTAGTCTTGCAACTAGGACAAATCATTAAAGTATGTGGTCAATCTCCGCAGTGGTAGAGGCGGCTGTGAGTACTTCGACGATTAAGTCAATTTACATCAGGGTATGTATTTGAGTGTGGCATATGTTTAAGACATGAGCCACTTAAATTTAAAAAAAAATGAATAATTATAGAGAGTAAAGAGAGATTGTAAAATTTGTATGTTGAGAGCATGAACTTGTATTATCTTTAAATGAAACAATGTAGGAGTTTTTCTAGTAGAAAGGGAGGAGTAAAAATCGTTGGATGGATCCCATGTTGAAACACCTTGTCATAGGCATCAATTTGCCTAATAACTTAAATGGGAATGTGTCTTTTAAAAGAAAAAGGCTTGCTTATTTGGTACGGAAATGTAGGATCATGAGAAATGTCATAATGTATAATATAATTGGTTAGGTGAAGTTAGCTCAGACTAGTGACAGGAGAATGACAGTTTTGACTTGAGATGGCCTTTCAGAATTTTCATATAAAAAGCAAATAAATATCATGATTTTATTTGATGTACTTCTTCTTGAATTTCTTATCCCCCCTCGCCCC